GCTCGTCTATACACATGAGGTTTGGCTTATTTTGTTGGACTAATTCCAGACCTATTGTCAAACGCTTCTGTTCGCCACCACTGCATGTCTGGACGGCATTATCGGCACAATCAGCCAAAAGCAGATCTAATAGTATTCGCCGGACATTCATATCGTGATCAAAGTTGCCGTCGATGTCGAGCGGAACGGTCTCATCGATGACCTGATGCTTAGGACCCAAACCCGGCTCAACGCTCGCAGAATCTCCCGTTTCGGCCGCTATATTATCGCGACCTTTCAGTCCAACACTTTTCTTATTCTTCAGTTTTGAGGCAAATAATAGCGATTCTCTAAATTATTAAGTCATTTTTACATCTTTTAGTGTTACTATTTTAGTTTATAAATTATAACTTTTAGTTCAATTACTAATAAAGTTTTTTATTATTTCGTAGTTAACTTAATTACTGCGACTACTACTACTACTACTTATAATACATTGTAAATGTGTATTTTATGACTAAAAATTATTTATTCAAACGAGTTATCTCTCACCTAACAGTTAATCCATTAATGATGTGTTCGTCCGCCGATTGCATTATGAAAGCGGTCCTCAATTCTGTGTATTTACTGACAAACATCTGTGTGTCAGCCGTGAGGCCAGCGTTTGAGCGCATATTAACGCACTTTAATAGTGAAGTCTTTCCCGCACCCGACGGACCCATTAGTGCCGTCAATGAATGGAAATTGATTTGACCGTTAAGTGAGTCCAGAATATTCTTTACCGGTTTTCCCAAAAGATTTTTTTGCACTAAAGTCAAATCATTCCACGCCATAACCAACTCGTTTTTGCCCTTTTAATTATGACATATTTTTTAGGAAATTAAATTAATTAACAAACAAAAGTAAAGTACAAAAATTGATTAAATAAAATTAATGTAGGTAAAAATAGCATACACTTATATGTACCAATAACTAATTTATTAATAATTCTTTAAGCTAATTTCAATAACATTTGTCTTACCGGACCAATTGAGCCATAATCTAGCTTTCCAATTTTGACCATTATGATTTTAGTGATAATTTTAAAATATTATAAATAAAATTCACTAATAAATGTGAATATAATTGTAAATTTAATTTACGACCTAATAATTGTGACATCAATTTAATGAGTGGCATAGACTCTACTATACT